GTTACATGACATAACAGTACAAGTTCTCATATGTCCTGAGTCTTAATTGACCTTGGAAGGCTAGGGCCAAAATGTTGGCTTTCCTTGCAGCTCTCCTTTTTCTCTAATTTTGGTCTGCAAACTTTACCTTTTGGCTTTTTTGAGATAGGGTCTCATTGTGTAGCCCAGGCTGGCCTCCAACTTGCAGCGATCCTCCAGGCTCAGCCTCCTGAGTGCTGGGATCACAGGCGTGTGCCACCACACCCCGCTCCTTGCTGGGAGGACGGCTGAGACCTTCCTGCTGGCCACTCACAAGCCACCCCTTCCAGGCCAGCTTCGCCCCAATGGAGGACAAGCTCAACCAGGCACATCACGAGGTCCAGCAGCTGAAGGCATCCGTGAAGAACTATGAGGGGATGATCGACAATTATAAGAGCCAGGTAGGCTTCCTATAATGCTGCTGGGGGCGGAAGGCAGGTCACACCCAGCCTGGCCTTGCCCACGACGGCCCTCTGTGCTCCCCGTCCCAGGTGATGAAGACCAGATTGGAGGCAGATGAAGTGGCTGCCCAGCTCGAGCGCTGCGACAAAGAGAACAAGATCCTTAAGGATGAGATGAACAAAGAGATCGAGGCGGTACTGTCCCTGCCTGCCTGCTTCTGTCCAGGCCTGAGGCGCAGCCCCGTGCCTGTGTCTGTGTCTGCCTTCGGGGGGCCTTGGCTCCCTGCTTGGGTTGAGAGAATAGCTGGCTTTCCTGGCTGCCCACCGTGCCTGTGTTCTCCTCCTCCTTGCTTGTTTCTTCTTGCATTTTATCCTTCCCTTCCTGATCTTCCTTTTCCTCTTTTGCATCTTTTTTTGTCATGCCAGGTATCCATCCCAAGGCCTTGTACTGCTAAGCATGCGAAGGCCATTTTTCCTTAAAACTGGAAGCAGTAGCCTGGTGTGGTGGGACGTGGCTATAATCCCAGAACTTGGGAAGGATTTTTTTTTTGGCTGTCTCAGACTGCCTTAAGGGTGAGTCTGGTGCAGCATGTGGAGCTGGGAATTGAGCCACATTCTCCGGTGCCTGTCTGAGTTACCTAAGCAGGTGCTTTAAACAACTGAGCTAACCCGCAAACCCCCTAATCCCAGAATTTGGAATGCTGAGGCAGTAGGATCATTGCAAGCTCAAGGCCTGTCTGAACTGCATAGCAAGAAAATAGAATTCATTAAAATGGCACGCATCTCCCTGCTATGTGGAATGTTGCAGTAGATCTAGTCTACAGTGCTGCTGGGTCTCTGGTACATCCAGGTCATTCTGTATGGTGTTTTTATTTTGTACCAACTAAAATAAATGGCTGCTGTTCCCTCCCCAGAGAGCCTGCCCCAGAGCTGGCCAGTGATGCACGGAGCATCCCTGCGCTAGCCCTAGAGACAGGTTGTACCAGGCTCAGCCCCTGCTCCGCGTAGTAGCTGGCAGCTCACTGCCCTGTCTAGCCCTTTGTTTCCTAGTTCATACAAAGATGGGCAAGCCCATGTACTGGGCTCTACTTCTGACCTCTCTCATTTTGGATGCCTTTTTTTTTTTTTTTTTTTTGGCAGACCCGGAGATTGAACTCAGGACCTTGCACTTGCTAGGCAAGCGCTTATTCTACTGAGCCATCTCCTTGGCCACCCCCCCCACCTTTTTTTTTTAAGACAGGGTTTTAGTATCTCACTATGCAGTTCAGGCTGGCCTTGAACTCATTTTGTAATCCAGGCTAGTCTCTAACAATTCTCCTCAGCTTCCCCAGTGCTGGGATAATAGGTATGCATCACTATGGCCCGCTCCCATTTTTATTTGATGACTACCATACACAAGTCCAGGCCCCGCCGCAAGTCAGGCTAAGTGTGTCCCCTCCACAGTGACACACTTCCGCCCATAGGGTTGGCAGGATCCACTAGGCCAGCTCTGCTCCTCCCCCTGGGGGGAGGCTTGCCAACCTTACTCCTTTCCCTGTGCAGGCGCGTCGGCAGTTCCAATCGCAGCTGGCTGACCTGCAGCAGCTGCCGGACATCCTCAAGATCACAGAGGCCAAACTGGCTGAGTGCCAGGACCAGCTGCAGGGCTACGAGAGGAAGAACATCGACCTGACGGCCATCATCTCCGACCTGCGCAGCCGGGTAAGGGACTGGCAGAAAGGGTCCCACGACCTGACCCGAGCAGGGGCCCGCTTGCCAAGATGAGCTGCCCGGTCCTCACAGGACGACTGCTGCCTTTTTCTCGACTGCCACTTTCAGAAAGGAGTGAGCTATCATCAGTGCTGTGAAATAAAAGTCTGGTGTGCCAAATGCCTTGTGTGCACAAAGTGATTGTCGTCATAGGAGCCGCCACTTGCTGGGGACCCTGGGCCGCTGCTGTGCCTCACCCAGTACCGCTCCGCCTGCCTCACCCCGCAGACATCCAGCCAGACTGCTCCCTTTCCCTCCCCCTGCTTTTTTTTTTTTTTTTTTTTTTTATAACTGGGGTTTGAACTCAGGCCCCTGCACTTGCAGGGCAAGCGCTTATTCTACTGAGCCATCTCCCTGACCCCACCTCCTCCTGCTTTAACCACCTCTGCTTCCTCTTTGCAGAAGCATGGCTGAGATTCTGTCCCTTGGGACAGAAGCGCTCAGTCTTTTCTCCAGCAGCGACCTGTCTCTGGCTGCCTCTGGGTTCCCGGAACCAAGCCTGCTGCCCGCCGTGACCCAGAATCGCTAGGCCACCCGCAGCTGCAGTGTGAACTTGGGCAGGGGCTTCCCCTCTCCTGAGCTACCATTCTTTCAGTGATCCCCCAGGAGCTTGGTGAGGTGGCCGAGTCATTTCCCTATGTTATCCAGAGCAGCCAGGGCCCCGCAGGGGAGAGTAGATCCCCGGCGTCACGGAGCTCCTATGTCTTGACTGGGATCAGAGCCCAAGCCTGTGTTCTCAGACTCCAGCTTGCTTGTCTTCTGTGTTGGAACCTTTGTAGCTCTGAGACCCAAGGCTCTGTGTAACACAGTCCCTGGGGGACTTCTCAAAGTCACCAGCATAGAAGGTTGATTGGTGTCCTTCTACCTCCCTACTCAGCCCTTGGAGAGGGAAGGGTGCAATTGATGGTGACAATGGTGTCACTGGGAAAGGGTGGGGGCCAGTTAGGTGGTCACCATCTGCTTCCATCTCTGCCTGCCTCCCCAGTCTCAGCGGGGAGCTGGAGTGTCTTCTCCCTGAGGGGAGAAACAAGGAAGCAACACTGCTTCGCCAGCAGCCAGCCTGGCTTCTGGTGAGCGACAGTCCATTGTCCCTGCTGCACTCTTCTCCAGGTTACAGCCTGAACCTCAGACGCAGGCCTCTCGTGGCTGCAGAGCACAGTCCTGGGACAAAGGAAGACTGCCTCGTGAGCCCTCCTGAAGGGAAATCCTGTCATAAACTAGTCTGTTCCTGTCCTTTTAGATTGAACACCAGGGCGACAAGCTGGAGGTGGCGAGAGAGAAACAGCAGGCCTCCCAGAAGGAAAATAAACAGCTGAGTCTGAAGGTGGATGAACTGGAGAGGTTAGAGGCACTTGGTCCCATCTCTGTTGTCTCCCTAGGACCTGAGACTTTCAGCCACTTAGCTGCTTTGTGCTCAGTGTGCGGAAGTATCTGAGGGACTTGAGGTCCCAGAAGGTGCTAGGCAGACCTCAGAGGAAGCTGCTTCCTGCAGTGGTAAGGACATGGGACAGGGGACAGGGGAGCGGGCTCTCAGCCTCGAGGGACGCTGCTGGATGCCGTAATCAGGGTCTGCCTGCCAAGGAACCACTTCTGCCAAAGGCAGACTGGGTCCAAGCGAACCAGTGGGCCATGGGCGCTTCTCCCTGCCCTCTTTTATTTGAGATAGGATCTTGTGGTGTAGTTCAGGGTGGCCTTGAGCTTGAATCATGAAGCTCCACCTGCCTCCGCCTGCCAAGTACTGGGATTACATGTGTGTGTCACCATGTCATATATCTCTATCTCTATATTTATATCTAAGCTTTGGGTTTTCCCCCCCTCTTTGGTGCTCCTGGGGCCTTGAACCTAGGTCCTCGCTCATGCTAGGCAAATGCTGGGCCACTCCTCTACCCCCCCCCCACCTGCTTCCCCTTTTCCCGTCCTGTGCTCCCACTCAGCATTCGCTGTGACCTCTCTGATCCAACCCCTCTCTTACTCATGGACTGTTGGAATCACAAGCCCAGCGTCAGGTTACAGCTTTGCCTCATCATTGTACCCTGACCTTGAGCAAATCTTTTAACTGCTTTGGACCTCAGGCTCCTCATCTTTTCAGGACTAGGGTGTTTTGTGAGGTTTTCTTTTGGTTTTTTTTGAGACTAGGTGTCACTAGTCCAGATGGGCCTGAAACTCATGGCAATCCTCCTGTCTTAGCTCTCCAAAGTTTCTGCATCTTGAGGAAGGACTGAGGTTGGGGTGAGACTTGAGTCTTTGGTGAGAGTCCTGGAAAAGGCCTTAGCGTGTCTTAGCCCAGTTTCCTTTTTTTTTGCTTTTGCAGGGGGTGCTGAGAATGGAACTCAGAACCTTGAGGCTTCCAGGCGGGTGCTGTACCACTGAACTATATCCCCAGCTGCTTTGCTCAATTTTTACGTGCAGACATTGAGCTGGGAGAGCAGTCACAGCTGGGCACTGCCAAAGCTTTGCCTTTTGCCAGAACCTGTTGGCACCTGCTTGCCAGAACCTGTTGTGAAGGGCACTGGGAGCTTCAGTGCCCTGTGTTGCAGGACTTGGTGCCACTCCTTAAATGAGGAGTGGCTGGGGATGTAGCCAGCGGCATAGTGCCTAGCTGGCCGCAAGTTCAGTTTCCAGTACCAAGCGAAAAAAAAAGCCCGAGGAAGTTAGCAGGTATAGCCACGCATGTGCCCAAGGTAGGAGGGTCACAAGTTTGAGTCCAGTGGGAGCAATGAAGTAAGACCCTGGCTCAGAAAAGTAAAGAGACTGAGAGGTAGTTCAGCATGCAGACCTGGGTTCAACTCTGGGAACTGCCAAATGAATAATAATCATGATGATGATGAATTGGAAGGTGTCTGGAAGAGCAGCGGGGACAGTATGTGTCTCCTGGGATGGCCACAGGTGCCTGCGGGCTGTCTCAGAGGCCTAACTAAAGTCCCTTTGCCCAGGCAGGCAACAGTGAACAGCAGAAGTTGATTTTTTGTTTGTTTGGGTTTTTTCAGAGGAAGTTGTTGAAAGCTTGGGACTTGGTGACAGGGACTGCTGTGCAGACCCCAGGAAGCGCTTCTCCCAAGCTGCAGGCCACTGTCCTCTCGCTCGCTCACTGCTCTCTAACCAGTGCTTCTGCCACCCAGTGCCCGGCTATCTGCCCAGTGCAGACCTCGGAGATTCTTGGCAGGCTGCCGGAAGATGGGGTTTAGTGCGGGGTCTAACTGGGCACTTTCACCCAGGAAACTGGAGGCCACCAGCGCCCAGAACGTCGAGTTCCTGCAGGTGATTGCCAAGAGGGAGGAGGCCATCCACCTGTCCCAGCTGCGGCTAGAGGAGAAAACTCGGGAGTGTGGGTCGCTGGCTAGGCAGCTGGAGAGCGCCCTTGAGGATGCCAGGCGGCAGGTCAGTACCCGTCAGTCTGGCTGTGTTCTGTGACCTCGGCAACAGCACAGCCTTTTGAGCATGTCTCTCCATCTGACAAGAGGGTGAAGTGGCACCGGCCTCACATCCAGGTGCACTCTGTGACCCTACCACTTGGGAGGCCGAGGCAGGAGGATTGGCATGATGTCCAGGCCAGCCTGCGCAACGTGGTGACTTTAGGCCAGCTTGGATTACATGACGAGACCCTGCTTCAAAATAAGCAACAAAATCAAATGAATAATTACTGTACAGGGCTCAGCTATTACTACATGATGGTTACTTTACCGCAAGTCCAAGCTGGGAAAGGGTAGGAAGGAGGGGTGCAGGTGGGCTCCACCCTTAGCTCCTGCCCTGAGCTCCTGGAAGCTCTTCTCATCCCAGTGCCAGCGCTGGAGGGAGCATTCTGCCAGGCTGCTCTGCCAGGTGCCAGAGGGGCTACCCACCTCTGTGCCTTGCGTGCAGGTGGAGCAGACCAAGGAACAAGCACTGTCCAAGGAGCGAGTGGCCCAGAACAAGATCCTGGACCTTGAGACCCAGCTGAGCAGGACCAAGACCGAACTGAGCCATCTGCGGCGCAGCCGTGAGGATGTGAGTCTGGGGGTAGGCGGGGACCCAAAGCCAGAGCTGGGATGTGTTTTAGCCCTTGGGGCCCACACGGCAGGGTGCTCTGTTGCCACTGTTCTTAGGAATCTAGTTATTCCACTGAGCCATCTC